TAGGACTAGCAGGCCCATAGGCGTGGATTTTTTAATAGGACTAGCAGGCCCATAGGCGTGGATTTTTTAAAGAATATTTTTTCTAGGACTAGCAGGCCCATAGGCGTGGATTTTTTAAAGAATATTTTTTCTAGGACTAGCAGGCCCATAGGCGTGGATTTTTTAAAGAATATTTTTTCTAGGACTAGCAGGCCCATAGGCGTGGATTTTTTAAAGAATATTTTTTCTAGGACTAGCAGGCCCATAGGCGTGGATTTTTTAAAGAATATTTTTTCTAGGACTAGCAGGCCCATAGGCGTGGATTTTTTAAAGAATATTTTTTCTAGGAATAGCAGGCCCATAGGCGTGGATTTTTTAAAGAATATTTTTTCTAGGACTAGCAGGCCCATAGGCGTGGATTTTTTAAAGAATATTTTTTCTAGGACTAGCAGGCCCATAGGCGTGGATTTTTTAAAGAATATTTTTTCTAGGACTAGCAGGCCCATAGGCGTGGATTTTTTAAAGAATATTTTTTCTAGGACTAGCAGGCCCATAGGCGTGGATTTTTTAAAGAATATTTTTTCTAGGACTAGCAGGCCCATAGGCGTGGATTTTTTAAAGAATATTTTTTCTAGGACTAGCAGGCCCATAGGCGTGGATTTTTTAAAGAATATTTTTTCTAGGACTAGCAGGCCCATAGGCGTGGATTTTTTAAAGAATATTTTTTCTAGGACTAGCAGGCCCATAGGCGTGGATTTTTTAAAGAATATTTTTTCTAGGACTAGCAGGCCCATAGGCGTGGATTTTTTAAAGAATATTTTTTCTAGGACTAGCAGGCCCATAGGCGTGGATTTTTTAAAGAATATTTTTTCTAGGACTAGCAGGCCCATAGGCGTGGATTTTTTAAAGAATATTTTTTCTAGGACTAGCAGGCCCATAGGCGTGGATTTTTTAAAGAATATTTTTTCTAGGACTAGCAGGCCCATAGGCGTGGATTTTTTAAAGAATATTTTTTCTAGGACTAGCAGGCCCATAGGCGTGGATTTTTTAAAGAATATTTTTTCTAGGACTAGCAGGCCCATAGGCGTGGATTTTTTAAAGAATATTTTTTCTAGGACTAGCAGGCCCATAGGCGTGGATTTTTTAAAGAATATTTTTTCTAGAACTAGCAGGCCCATAGGCGTGGATTTTTTAAAGAATATTTTTTCTAGGACTAGCAGGCCCATAGGCGTGGATTTTTTAAAGAATATTTTTTCTAGGACTAACAGGCCCATCGGCGTGGATTTTTTAAATAATATTTTTTCTAGGACTAGCTCTCCCAAAGGCGTGGATTTTTTATATATGAATATTTTTTCTATGAGCTTTAGAGGAGCGGCAGCCTCATAGCCTCCTTGAAAAATCTCGGTATCAATAGGGTAAAAACCATAATACCATAGGTGTGGAAAATGTGCGTAAAAATGAATGCATAGACGGGCACTGAGGTAAATATATCTTTCCAGGGTACATCATTATTGGCCGTCTTCACTTGAGTACTTTTCAAATACTGATATTCCTCTTTGCTAAGACGTGGATGATCCTCCAATTTGCTGTAAACTAACCAATGGCAGGTAATGCCGAAAAGTAAGGAGATACCACCAACAACATAAAATGCCGTCTCCCAACCTAGTTTACAAAGGAAGCTGGAGATGGGAAATACCAAGAGTGCCCCCACTGAGTAGCCACCATAGGCAAATGATAGGAAAGCTGTACGTTCGGTGGGATGGGCCCAAGTGGAGAATAGTTGATACAGTGCGGGATTTCCACAACCCTAAAAAATTGAAAGGAGAATTTAAAAAATTTGAATACGAAAATGGTGATATTTAAATTTTTTTCCTTACCGCAACTAAACCTTGTATTATCCGTACTATTACGGCTCCAGTATAACTTTGTCGTGCAAAAAATGGTAATAACATAAATACCATTGCCTGCACCGTTATAGAGTGCACAAATAGCAGTTTGCCACCAAATCGATCGGCCAAACGTCCAGCTATGGGTAATGTTACCAAATAGCCATAGTAGAAGGTACCCAGCACCGCGAACTCTTGACTACGTGTCCACAATAGATCACCTGTCTGAAAGGAATTTAAAATATTATTTCATGAAAATTCATGGATTTTTAAAAAATAATTTCTCTTGGACCAGCAGGGATTATTAAACGATATTTTCTATAGGACCAGCTGGACAATATGCGTGGATTTTGGAAGAATAATTTCTCTAGGACTAGCAGGTATTTTTAAAGAATATTTTCTCTAGTACCAAGAGGCTATATACGTGGATTTTTGAAGAATATTTTCTCCGAGGTTTTATAAAGAATATTTTCTTCGGGATTTTTTAAAGAATATTTTCTCTACAACAGGCTATATGCGTGGATTTTTGAAGAATATTTTCTCCGGGGCTTTATAAAGAATATTTTCTCCATGACCAATAGGACAATAACCCTGGATTTTAAATAATATTTTCTTTACGGTGCTTCGTTAATTTTAAAGAATATTTCCCGTAGGACCAATAAGGTCATAATTCTGGATTCTTAAATAATATTTTCTACAGGGCCAACAGGGATTTTTAAAGAATATTTTCTCTAGGATCAGCACGACAATAAGTGTGGAATTTTAAAGAATAAATTCTCTGGTATTAAATAATATTTTGTTCGTACTATCCGGGCCTTAAGCTTGGTGTACCAGGTTTTAAAAACAGCGACGAAGAAATTTGAAGATGGAGTAAACATTTCGAAGAAATTATCAATGTCAGAAACGTCACGGGCAATTACGAAAAGATTGAAAGAAATAGAAGAGACAACTGATCAACAAAAAAGTAATATTTATATTATGAATTGAAGACTTAAACCGTAAATCTTATTACTGATAGTTCAATGGTGGTATGACACTGATAATTGATCCTCATCTAACCGCTGCCAATCTAACCGCATGTTGTATTCTACATAAATTATTGTTTTCACTTTTCCTGGTGTTTATTATTAGAAATTGTTATTAATATGTCGGTGTATTGCGGTTTGTAAGATGCGGTGCGGTTGGTTGCAATTGCTGCCGTTTGTTGTGGTATTCTTGAATTGTTTCCAAATGTACCTGATTCATTGACAACTGGGCCAAACAACCAAACTGACATAGGTTATTTCTAAATCGAACATACCCTCAACATAGCCATATCACTAATATAATGGTACTGTGGTCGAAAATAATTCGTTTAACCTCAGTCATATGACTAATATTAGTTTTAGACCCCATTGTTTCTTTTGACCAAATCCGTTTCAGTTGAGTCGATTTACAAACGTACGTCCTTCTGTATGTCAATGTGGCCGGCTGGTGTACACAATGACTCTCGAAGGGAGTAACCGATTTCATAAAATTTTGCACATCGTACCTCCCCCACTTCTTTTGGTACCTCCCCCCTTAAAAATTCAAAATTGTGTTGACAATTATTTGTATAACATGGTACGATCAGGAGTGTCGTAATGCTACTGATGTGGAACGCATCTTAGCCCTGCCCTGCAGAAGTAGCAATAAGTAACGCGAGGGAGAATTACCGGAAAAAAGGAGAGAGGAAAAATAAAGCAAGAACAAGAAAAAAGTAAACGTGAGCAAATCGAAATTTTTAGGAGTCAGAATGAAGTCCCGAAATTTTACCAATGAGTAAAACGCCAAACCGAAGGCTTTGATGCAAGCGCATCCTCCTGTAGAGATGAAGATTGCAAAGCTTCTGCTATCAAATAGTGGCGGTGAAGAAGATACCCCAGAACCAATAATAGATGATGGTATATATTGTATACCACCTAGCCAAGATGAGGTCAGAGTAGCAATTAATCGGCTAATGAACAATAAAGTAGCAGGTGAGAAGGATTACTAGCCAAACTATTAAAGACCGGTGGTCAGATGCTGGTCAGGAGCATGCATCCTGTGTCCTGTGCACAAAAAAAGAGACAGGAAGATATGTGCCTACTATAGAGGAATTAGTCTCATTCCCATCGCATATAAAGTGATATCCAGGGTGCTGTTTTAACGACTGAAGCCAATGGTCAATAACGTTATTGGACCATGCCAATGCGGCTGCAGGTCTGGCAAATCCACCATTGAACAGATTTTCACTCTGCGCCAAATCTTAAAAAAGACCCACGAAAAACACAACGCATTCGACAGCCCTATCCGCTCAGAGATGTTCAAAGCCATGTCTGCTTTCGGCATTCCTGCAAAATGAATACGGCCATGCAGGATAACTTTAACTGGCACAATGGCAGCAGTTAAAACCAGAAAGGCTCTATCGGAGCCCTTTAATACCAAACGAGGATTCAGACAAGGTGACAGTTTGTCGTGTGATTTTTTTTAACATCCTGCTAGAAAATGTCATACGAGACGCAAAGTTGAACAGAAATGGCATTCTGTACACCAAACAACACATGTTACTCGCCTACGCCGATGACATCGACATAATGGGTCGAACATTGCGAGCGGTAACAGTTACCATTGAACAAATTCAGAAGTAGTATGCCAAAGTGCGTCTGGCAGTAAATTGAGAGAAGACCAAACGGATGGTATGAACGTCCAGTAGACTCGGCCCAACTGTGAAACTTGAGAACTATAAAACTTAACTAATGAGATCAGTTTTGAAATTTGGAGGATAATAGTGTTGGCAGCCAACATATGCTACTATGGTCTAAGCAAGCATTTCAAAAACAAGGCCATCTCGCCAGACCAAAATTACACGCTTTTTGGTTTAATAGACAGGGTGACATCTGTTATTCACCAAACATGGTTTATGTCCATGATACACACAACAGCACCATTTGTTGGTTATTGTGTGAAACGCGATGTAATTTGATACGATTTTGATCGCTCTCTCATACTCTCCCTACTATAATTGGGCCAACCTCATATAACAGTACCCCCTCCCCCCATTATTCGGTATTTTTGTGATATTGGGTGCGTGTTTCAATCGAATCTCAGTGGATAGCTAATTTTCCTTGGAAAAATTATATAAATTCGGTCGTTTTTTTGATATAGCCCACCTGTAAAGGTACAATCCCTTTTATAGGTATTTTAATGGTCATAGGCACATTTTCCAAACGGATTGATTATATTTTTTCATTACGAAGTGGCAAGTAACTTCACATTCCGTGACGTCGATGTGCAGACAAATTCTTCGCAGATTTTTTTCAATATATTTAAGTCCCTATTTCTACATACTCTTCCTGCAAAGGTCATGCATCGGTGTGTTCAAGGATCTAGCTCAATTTCCCATGCTGAGTTTCTGTAGTTTGGTAATTATTTTTCTCCTGGCAGCAATTTACTGTGACATTGCTTCCATATAAAAATCTGGATAGTTTTTAAATATTTTAAATGTCCATAAAAAGATCGTTCCAGCCACTTTCCTTTCGCATTTTATTTAACCGCTCATTTATTCACTTCACGACATTTCATTTTTGCTCCTGACACTCACTCACCCTTTGTATGGTGCTATTAACCGAACTTCCCGTATCAATTGGCCCACAATGACTGTCGGCCACTGCAATTTCAGCTGCATCTGTGGTGGAATTGTCATAGACAATCGCCGGCTGATGCTTGACCATACAAAGTATCACAAAATTTAAGGTATTCCGCAGACACAATTGAATGACCATGGCCAAGAAGGCACAAATGGTATAACAAAGACGTGCCGAACCCCATAGAGGGGGTGTTGTTATTTGCTCATTTGTCGTCGTCGTTGTCGCTGCATTTTCGGCAATGCCATCGAAATTGGCGGCTGCGGTGGCGGTGCTGGTGATGGCAGTAACCTCTGTTTTAGTAGCCATTTAACACTTAACACACATGGGTATTTGCGAAAACATGCATTCATCCAATTGTATCACAAATAAACAAAAACAACAACAACACAAAACGTAAATCACAAATTAATCGATTTTAATGAGCATAGAAACGAAATAGAAATAAACAACAAAACCAACAACCGATCGACCGACTAACCGCCCGACAATTTCAACACTATATGCCAATATTTTTAAAATTCCAAACGAGACCGCGAATTTGTTGTAAACAGCAGCACGATGCGGCTGTTGTTTAATCTCGCTCAAATGCTTTGCGACACTAACGGCCGAACTGCTGCAGCCAGTCAATTATGACTGGGCATTAGAACCGCTAAAACCGAATAGAAAACAAAACAAAAAATTCCGAATTGAGAACGAAAAGTGTGCTGACTGACTGACTACTGCTCCTCCTCATTACACATATTTCTTTTCAATTAGCAGCGACGACGTGAGTTGACCGTTAGAAATTATTTTGTTTTCTAAAATCGAAAGGGTTATTCGATTAGGCTTCCTCTTTTGTCATATACTTTTTAGATAAACATAAAATAATTTAAAGTGGATTTTTATAGGAGGGAGACCATTCTGAAGTCCATTGAGGCTAGGAGGTCTCATACAACTAGAACCTCATCGATAGGTATTGGCTATACCGAAGATTGTTAGAAGTGTTCTATTTTTATGAAAATTGTTAGGCGTCTCTTTTAAATAGAATAACTTCTATGGAAAATGTGTTCTCTTCTTCCGAATGATTTTTTTGTTCCACCTCATAAAGAGTATATATATTTGTAAAACATCCTCAGGGATACTTCTAAAGATAGTCTTATTTGAGGTTATTCAAAATTGTGGTCCTCTAAGAAATCTTGTATTTGTAAAAGACCCTCAAGGAGACTTCTGAAGAACTCATGGATGCAGAGGTATTATGAGAATTCACTCTGATTTAAAAACCTCCGTTTCAACTGCAACTTCTGGCTAGAAAAAAATTTGACCACGCATTTCTCTCTTAATTTGCGGGAATAAAACGAAGTCATTGGGAGCCAAGTCCTGATTGCACTATTAATTCCACAATTTGACCGACTAAAAAGGAGCTCATGTGGGAGGCTAGGATCTTTCTCCTCTGCACCTAATAATCCCCCCATTGGTCTTGGCAAATGATATCAAATAAAGTGAAGAACATTTCTCTGGACTTTTGATTCAGTCGTTATAACCGATATATCGTTACTTCTATTTTGTAGAAGACATACAAGAAGACTTCTGAAGATAGGATAACTCTTAGAGGTATGCCAGATACATTCCATCGATAGGTGTTCTATAGTCGACATATCTTCCAGAAAACCACAAGAGATGTTTTTGTCTGGGCAGTCTTAGTTTAAGTTGGTCTTCTCAAAATTGGAACTTTCAAGGGAAAGAGTTTCAAACTGAATGCGGAGGATAAATAGTTCATAGAGGTAGTGCGGATACATACCAGAAGTTTCTTGAATTCCTCTGATTTTAATACTCCTTCTATAGGTCTTCGAAATATCATCCAGAAATCCACTGTAGGATTTTTTTTTCTCTTGATACCTACTAAAGACCAGCATTGCCCAAATTTTCACTATGCATCAAATCCTTGAAAAGACTCACAGAAAACTATAAAGCCGCATTCGACAGCCCTATCCGTTCGGAGGTGTTAAAGCTATGCCTGCGTTCGGAATTCCTGCAAAATTAACACAGCTATACAGGATAAATTTAACTGGCACAAGGTCGGCAGTTAAAGGACCTATCGGAGCCCTTTAATACCGAACGAGGATTCAGACAAGGTGACAGTTTGTCGTGTAAGTTTTTTAACATCCTGGTGGAAAAGGTCATACGAGAGGCAAAGGTGAACAGAAATGACAGCCTGTACACCAAACAACGCACGTTACTCGCATACGCCGATGACATCGATATAATGGTTCGAACATTGCGAGCGGTAACAGCCACCTTTGAACATATTGAAGAGGAGTCTGCCAAAGTGGGTCTGGCAGTAAATGGCGAGAAGACCAAGCTGATGGTATCAACACGCAAGACGTCCAGTAGACTCGGAGCAATTGCCGAAGTTGCGAACTATGCTATTATAGTCTAAGTAAGCAGTTTAGAAACAAGGCCACCTCCCACCTGACCAAACTCACACTCTACAAATCGCTGATACTACCCGTGCTGTTATATGGATCTGAAGGATTGGTACTTAGGCAAGCAAATGAGCAGCTCTTGTAGTGTTTGGTAGAAAAATCCTCCGAAAGGTCTATAGGCCGATCTGCGTTGACGATGAATCTCGCCGTCGAATGAAACACGAGTTGCACCATCTATTCTCTATATTCAGATTTGCCAAACGTATCGAGCTGCAGCGACTACGTTGGCTAGGTCATATTGTGAGAATGGATGAGGATGCCCCCAGCACAAAGTCATATAAAAGCGAGACAATTGATGGCAGAAGAGAAGACCACGAATTGGATGAAAAGATGGAAGAGAACTTTTTGAAAGACCTCTTGCGCGCAGGTCCTTCAAAAAGTTCTCTTCCATCTTTTCGCGCCTGGGAAGATCTTAGACGAAGTTTTTTTCTTCCAATATCAACTCTTGAGACACCTTTTGTTTCGAAGTAATATTTCCACCAACAAATTTCGAACCCGTACAGTAGATTTTCGGTTGTCGATTTATATCGGGTTCATGCCGAATTTTTTTCCGATGCAACGAGAGCCACCAGTATACGAGCGTATGGTGGTGGAAGAAATTACAAAGGACGCCTCTTGGTCTCCCTCTTGATCTCCAGTCTTCTATACACTTAGTTATTCTTCCTGGCTTCTATTGTTAAGATACCATTCATTCTACAATACCTTGTATATACTTTTTGATTGTTCTTATACCTTTTGTTCTTTGTGGCCTTATAGGGTATTCCTTCATTAGAAAAAACTTTCTTATTCTAAAGCTTTCGATTTCTAGAGGATCTTTAAGTGACCTTCGTTTACTGGAGATGATTTTTATTGGCGCGAATCTCTATTGTTCAGAGACCATTTAGGGATCTTTTGTTAATAATTGATTTTCCGAAGACATTTGGAAAAGTAATTACCTATTACAAGGAGACCCTCCCGGACGTCTTCTTTTCCAAGGAGACATATTAGAAACTTTCTTTATTAATAGACACTGTATTGCTGCATAACTTCCAGGGACTTTTAATTGCTGGATAGGTTGTCGAGGACATTTTATTGATTCTATTGATGGAAAACCTTCCTAATGCCGATTTATTGCCTAGAGGAACTTCGCTAGGAGAAATTCGAAAGTCTTTCAATTGGTAGGATACCTTCTAGAGGCCAACTTATTGCAAGGAGGCCATTCTGTGGTTGTCGATTCCTTGGACACATTTCAAAGGACTAGTTTTAATTTTCTACAAGACCCTCCAGGGGTATTCTTTGTTAGGAGGTCTTGTTTCAGAAATATCTACTTTACTGGGTACATTCTATTGCTAGGGGAGTTTTTCCAGAGTTTGTCAATTAGCTAGTATGTCTTCTACATATTTGCTAGGATAGCTAGAATTCCTTCTAGAGCTTAATTTATTGCTAGGAGGCCATTCAGAAGCCTTCGATTTCCAGGGGATCCTCGGGAAGACATTCTAGGAGCCCTCTCCTGTGGGGACATTCTATTTGCTACGGGAACTTCCAATTGTAGATAGTGTTTTATTGCTAGGATACCTCTCCGAGACCTCCTTTTCTCGGATACATTTCATTTCATAATTTTTTGCATCTATAAGCTATCTTAGGCCACGACATATTCTACACAGGTATTTTAGGATGCGGTCTTCCGTTTTGAGGCATTAATAATGTGTTCTTTTGATAGAAGTCCTTTTTTTCTACATATAGGATATCTATTATTGCTATGATACATTCAATAGTTATCATGTGCTTTTAGCATGCATTTTTCTCAACTCTTCACATCAGGTGAGATCCGCATACCAAACATACTGATTCTTAGTCTATTCGTTTACCCAATTTCAACGGTGGTTCAATTTTTTCAATTTTTGAGGTAGCCCTAATTTTTGCATTTTGGGGAGTACGACCAACCGTTATTCAACCGAATCGCCAGTAAATTGGTATTTTGGGTTCTCAAAGTGTAACAAATCAAAACATATTACATTACAGATCACCTATCAACCTATCAAAACATATTACATTACACATAATCCCCTTTGATTTTGTTCATTTCGTAATACCCCACATGATAACCCTTTAAATTTTAAACTCATATCCATTACATTGAATTTGGCTTTTGACGAAATAAAAACAAGAAAAAACAAATAACTTATTAACTGCAGCGGTAGCTGCAGAAAAGAATGCGTCAAGCGTCAACACCCTCAATATACCCAACCATCAACAACAACTACAAAAACAACACCGACGTCGAGACCAAACAAAAGAATGAAACTAAAATCTTACGTTCATGTGTCAATGCTTACGTACCATCCATCCGTCCAAGCACCCAATCGACCAACCTACCGACCATTTCGTCTGGCACATGCGGTCGGTCACATTTTTCATTATTCACAAATAAAATTTAGTTTTTGTCACGATTTATTCGAAAACTAGACTATTTTCTACATGCCTTTCCTCCTGTTTGGGGGTTTAAAAATATTTCAGCAAATTTCAGTGTAAAAATACAATGAAAGCCCTAATTGCAGGGTGTTATCGCCGAGTTTTGTTACAATTTAAAAAAGGCATTGGCTTTTTCATTATTATTGTTTTTATTATTATTGGGTTTTAACTTGAAATAGCTTATTATTTAGTATGCGTTTCAAAAGGCTGATTAGCGTATAAGAGGGTAGTTATGGAAAGGCAAAATAAACAAAATAAAAATTACTTTCTGAAGTCCTAATATGGAATAAATACTATCGTTATAATGAGTTACACTTCGACATCATCTTTCGATCGTGAGAAAATATATCGTACATATGTGGTTATCTTGGTGTCTATAGTCGAGAGTACCAC